ATATATCTGTGCCCAAGCATTTTGCTCCTGGAAGGTCATCCGGGACATCTCGACCGCCTGCGGAGACTCGAAGTCCTGGAGTGAAAAGCTGACTGGTGTGTCCAACCCCCAGCACTCAAACAAAAAAGATCCATGCATATATTAATATTGTTGAAGACCCGTCGACTGAATGCGCTGCACCGTTCTTGTTTGATTTGTTTTGACACATGAACCTTCTTGAATATATTCAACAGGACCTGTTCTAGTTGAGGTCTAGCGCCAATCCCGGTGAACGAATGGACCCGCATGTTTGCATGAGGCCGGGCAACATCCGGAGCGCATTGATCAAGGATGTCCAGGAGCCCATTGACGAACTCCGCAAATTGCGAGCCAGCTTGGAAGACGCAAGCCCTGATGAGGCTTGCTGTGAGTGAGGATTAATGCTATATTAAGCAAGCAACATCAAATTAGACTTAAAGTTCAATTTGCCTGTACAGGAAACACGTATACATGTACAGACTCCAGAAATCTTACAACATAGCCATGCAAGTAGTATCAAGTAGTGCTAGCTCCGGATCCTTTAAAGCTCATCGGAAACCGGTACTGGGGTGTCATTCGAATGTTGACTGCTTCGGAGGTTGAACGCCATGTGCAGTCGGCTGAACACAAATTGGAGAAGTACAAGACTGCAGCTGCCGCGTGCCGAAAGCATGTTCCTTGGCAGTGATCAGTCCTTTGGGAGGAAGCGTGCGGCCTGAGAATTTCCGGCGCTGTAGCTGGGCTCAAAACATTAATGCGTATTACATTTACCGAGCAGGGCATGCAGTGCACATGAGCATGTCCATGTCTGATCTTACTGGAAACACTTCATCGATATCGGTTTTGAATTATCAATCCTCTCAATTCGATATATTGGGATTTGCAGTGGTGTTGAGTCATGGGGACTCAGCGACTCAGCGCATGGGTACCTTGCAAGGGTACGTATGAAGCGTTTCTTGTCTGAGCTCTGGTCCTCCGATGCTCCGCAGACCAGGGCCAGTGCTGCCAGCATTCGACCTGCCAAGTTTCGACTTCGCACATTGGCGTCCCGTTTGGTTTCACCATCAAGTTCCGACGACGATGAGCACTTGACTGAGAAAGAACCCTCGAGCTCAGGAAAACCAGTCGGATTTGAAAGGCCAAAGCAATTGCAAGATAGTACTAGTGCTAGATCACTTACTCAGCCAGGGCATCCGGGTGGTTGCGCGGCAGGAAGCATGGTTATCACTTCAAAGTCCAGTGACAAATGTGGGATTGGTCAAGAATGCATGGAATTGCAACATCAAAAGAAAGTATTGCGAACAGCATGCAAGAGCCGTGCTGGGCCAAGTATGCCTCAATATTCACACAGGCTTGTCCGCAGTAGAGCTGGGCTTGAGGCATCACAAACATGTGACTGCGCTTGCTTTGCAAGAGGTCTGGGTTCATGCTCGTGCTGCCCTTTGCCTTCTTTGTACAAGTTTGGTTCGACGTGTTGTGTCGGGCAGCGCTTGTACTGGATTCCAAAGTCATCCTATTTGGATTGCTGCCCGCTTGCCCGCTTTCAGCTATCAGAGCTGGAAACCATTCCAGGTATAGTGGCGAAGATGCTGCACAGTCCAGGTTGCTGTGCATTCTCCTTTGGTTCAATTTGGAGGCATTGTGTATTCCAAGTCGAGTGTTTGGTGCGAGACTTTGGAGGGCCTGTGTGTATCTTCAAAATTGGGATCAGCTCCAATGTCGGCTACCGCGTGAACAAATACAAGGAGTCAAACTTTGCAGAGATGCGGCTAATTCATTGCTCTGAGAACAGTAGCATTATTGAAGTTTTGGAAATTCTGTTAATTGCAACTTTTAAGAACCGTCGAGGATGTAGGAATGTAGCACCAGGTGGGGAGGGTAGCATGGCACTCCGAGATCCTTATGGACCATATTTCTTGTACAGTGTTGGGGCCCGTGCCGATGGTAAATTGGCCATTGGCTGGTAAAGCACTAGTACTAGCACATATAGAAGAAAAAAACATGTTGGAATTCGACCTGTAACTGCAGCTGGTGTAGCTATATAGGGCTGGGAATTTGGAGTTGGTAAAACGCGGTGAAACTGAAACAACCATAACACCCAGCCCCTTACCGCTTGTCTCCACCTTTTGTCTGTCCACGCGCCCGCGCCTCTGAGGTTCCGAAGAAGAAGAGCGAGCCTGAAAAGAAGTAGGCAGCTGATGAGCTCAAGTGATTGAGATTGGTTTTTTTCTTCACTGCAAGGCAGTGAAGAGCTTGGTGGGGAGTGTTACCATAGAGCACATAGAAGGTGGAGACTTTGGAGCTCCAGGATACCTGTAACCGTTAACCTTTTAAACTTGATGGAAATGAACCCATGCATGACCAGCGGATTCAAAACGTGATGAGATACCCAGCTGGTTTCTGCCCTAGTGCTTTGTGGTGCCTATGTGTAGGCTCATCGATAGATGCTCTGTGGCGTCCCTTCAATCGATATCGGTCGGGCTGAAGTCCAAAAGTGCATACGCGCAAGTCTGCACATGTCCAACCAGAACTGCAATCACTTGGTCAGTTTTAATGTTTCAAGTTGCAGTATAAATATTGCTAATATAATATATATAATATATACTATACACTTTCAATTTGCCAAGCGGAATGAGGTGCTACTTCGACTTTTCACGAGCACTTAGAAGAACGTGTTGGGAATGGTGTGGGGGCCCTATTTGCGCAGCATTCTGTGGCAGGATTTTGCAGTAGTCTGTAAGCCTGATCACCATATAGCTAGAGCAGCTTGCATTCTGATCCTCTTTTTGCTGTTTTTGGGTGCAGGAAAGTGTAGCGCAAGCTTTGCAGTCAGCATGCGCAGCTACGCGGGACTGCTGTTTTGCTGCATGTCACAGTGCTGTTCTTCGCAAAGTACTCTGTTCTTCGCTATAGCTAGCAGGAAAATATATCGATCGATTGGCCTCCTTGAAGGAGGTAGCTGGATCCCATGGTGGCGGTGGAGCTTTCATGAGCCAAGGTACCACTAGACTCAAAACCGAGGAGAGCCGCTGAAAGCGGAGCCGCTCATCATTTCCAAATAATTTAGATTTGCGAAGCCGCTCCTGGGGCTCAAAGTCCAAACCGTCTCCTCAAAACCGAGGACCCGTATGATGTGTGTCACCTTGTGTCACCCTTGGAGCTACAGTTTTCTGGATCGAATCACTGTAAAGCGCGTGCGTATGCTTTGCCTGGGTAGGTGGGGAGTGGTTTCAAGGTGTCTTCTTCAAAAAGGCGCTGCGTGTGGTTCAAAGCATTGCGCAACCGTTCCTTTTCCAGTTGTTAAAATGTTGTTTTTTCATGCTCTTCGGGTTTGTCTTTTGTCACTGGTTAACTAAATAGTCAATACATGTTTGACTCGAAAACCCTCCAACTAGAGCTTACAGAACATAAATGGTACTTACATTCAAGTTATACCATACATCATTGCATACATCAAAATTGCCACTCCAGCTAACTTAGTTGTAAGTAGTTTGTAACAAAGTACGATACAAGTGGAGCCCGATAAAGACGCAGGCGCCCCGGGGCCTTTCTCTTGAGTCTGGGAGTTGGGGCGCGATCGGGACCAACGCACAGTATCATGGGACCTTCCTGGGCCTTCTTTTCACAAACAGCCTGTCTCAAAGGGCACATTGCCAAATGATGTTGTACATTGGTGGATTCCGCAACACCGTTGGGATAGAACACTTCTTTGTAAAAAATACTGCAAAGAAGTATTGAAACCTTCTCCGGTCTTGAAGGCTACCGCAACATGTACTTTCCTGTTCCTTGGCATCTTTCGCGCGTTTCGTATTTATGGTGTGTTCGCAATCAAACCTCTAAGTGCGTTGTTGTTGTTGTTGTCGTCGGCGGTTTCTGTTTCTACTTTCAAAACTCCACAAGTGTGCCAAAGAATTCATTCAGCAGTGGTGATGGACATCAGAAGCAACATCAACTTGTTTTGGACAATGAGGTGAAACAAGTGCAGCTATTGAGTCACTCTAAGGTCAAATGGAGCTGCAAAGCGCGTGAAACGAACTCGAGTGGGTCAGCTCAACGTAAGCCGGCCAAGTGCGTGAACGCGGAGTCCAGAGTCGGTTACTGTTTGCACGGCTGCTGTCTATCGAAGCTTACCGAAGTGAGTTCCACAAAAAACCGTTGAAAAAGAACATGGTGGCCCAAATCGCACAAAGAAAACATCCGGTTTTGGTTAACTCTTCTTGCATTGGATTACTTTGGGGGTATTATGGCTCTCGCACAAGCAACAAGAATTGTCAAACATCAATCAACTGAATGCGCAAGAGATGATTCTCCGCAAATGGGAACTCTGCGACAATGCCAAAATCTTCTGAGGAGCTGGCCGTGCCAATATCCCTTTGCGCTCCAGTCCTGGCAAACCAGGATTGAAACTTCAAAGAGCCACATGCAACATCTTGAGACGAAGGGAACTGCCAATTCTTTGAGCTCGTCCCTTCCTGTCTTTGAGCGGCGCCTCGAAGATACAAAGCGGCACCGTGAAAATGGCCGCGGCTGCACACCTTCCGAGCCCTTTGTCCTCTGATTATCTGGCTGCCAAAACCCAATTGGTGCTGAATGGTGGCAAACAGAAAGTTTAGACAAACATGCCTATAAAGGCTATATGTGTCTTATCAATTGCAACTGTCACCGAGAAAAGCGGCGGCAAGCCACACACCATCAAACCCTCAAGTTCACTTGCTGCTTGCCCTATGCAAGTCCAGTTCTGTCAGTTCTGCAAACTCGCTCACCACAGCTCACACAATTCTTCATCCATGCTCACACGCGCGCAACCCCCTTCACCGTCCTCATTTGAGGAGGCTACGTTTCTGTGAAAGCGGGCTTTAGAGGTTTGGAATCTTGCGGTATAGTCAGTTCCAAGCTGCCTTGAAGCTGGAAGTTCGCACACTTCACAGACCAAGAGACTTCACAATCGGCAGCCCGCCTGCCCATCTCCCATTGACGAATTCTCACGGCATGAAGAACGCGTTGACCGGGATACCCAACTTGTCCAAGACCTGACGTTCCCACCGGCAGCCTTGCCCCAAGGGCTTCTTTGTGAAGTCATGTTCCGGCGCTTCTCTGGGGAAACTGCTGCCGTCCGAGAGCTGAATTCGGCCTTCACCCCAGCCGGGGGGTAGACCGCCTGGCAGATTCTGGAAGCGTTCCCTCAGCTGCTGCGACTCAGGTCAATGGTGAGAGTGGAATTTGGAAACATCTGCAAATTGAGCAAAAATACATGGACATCAAAATGTGAAGAACACCAACTTGTTTGCGCCTGAAGAACTTGAACATCAAACGACTCAAAGCGCTTGTAAACAAAACGTTGCTGCAAAGGTTCTGAGGCAAGCCATAATCTATGGCTCGAGCATCGCTCAACTCGGAAGAGCCAGCGCTATATAACTCAACCCAGTCCTTGAAACCCAGAACTAAAACGCATCCATTGCGAAACACCCAAGACAAATATCGAAAATGCCAACGCACGGCGAATCGAGCAGTATTAGGACCTGCGTACGTTTTCATCCTGTAAGCATCGCCCGAAAGAGTGCTTAGATGTCTCTGGGAAGATGCCCAATGCACAACCAAGAGTCTGGAGAGAAGATGTTTGAAACTGTGCAGCATACAACCGAGCCTTCCTTATGCTGTGCGTTCACTTCCCGAATCCTTGGGCAGCATTCAAGTGGTTGTTGAGTGAGTTGGTAAGTACAAGAGTATCATGGAGTAACACTTGCCAATCCAGAAATCCTCTCTGCAAACTTGCGCAGGTTAAATGGCAAACGCCAAACTTGTCCGACATCAATCAAAAACGGGCACCAAACACCTGCGGATCCAATAGCTGAGCGTCCAATGGCAACACCAACCTCGACAGTTCAACAAGAACGGCAAGCATGCTTCAAGGAGGTTTCTTCACAACCAAAGTGATCCCAAAGAGACCACGTGGCATAATAACGCGTGCGCTAAAACAAAAGCCCGACACCGGCATGTGAGACAACCAGCAGGTGTTCCCACAACCCCCAACTCCAAGGCCCCGCCCACTTTCAAGTCAAGGGGCATATATATTTTGCGCCGACTGTAGGTGGTTCTCTTGTGGTGTGCGATTCAACGACCGAATCCCACATCCGATGGCGGCCTTTCTTCTCCGGGACCTCAATCCGATCTCGCCCGCAATCTTCAGCTGGATGGGTCCAGTCCCCGGCATCGTTGGTCGCACCAAACACCAAAGCTTCCTCAAACCAAACGGTGGCCGTTCCTGGGCGCAGCAAGGCGTCGAAGATTAGCCAAGAAACCCCATGATTTCAGTGCTCTCAAACCCAAAAAGAAGAAAACAACGCTGTCTGGGCACGGCCACGATCAGCGCGCTTCAACTCTGCCATGACTTTGTCATAAGCAGCTCCACCTGGAACAGAGGCCCCAGTGGCGCTCACATCTTTCCGCATGTTCTTGAAGACGTCTGGCGAGTTGTACCACGTAAAAACGAGGCCATGACCAGCTGCGTTGGCCACCTCTTGCTGAAAAACGCTATCAGCCTGAAGCGTGCTAGATACGTATTGTCGAAGCCAGGGTGCTCGAGTTGCCAACACTGCATCCAGCACGAAGGTGCGGTCATTTTGCAACTTTTGAGCAGCGAGCTTGAATGCCGTGCCATTCTGCATGATGGCTGCCATCACCAAGTCCTTATCCTCCTTCAAGTTCTCGCTTGCGTACTTCAAGCAATAGCCATGGGACTTTACTGCAGCCATCATAAACCCTTTGTTGCTGCGAAGCTCTGGAGGAGCATCTTCCAAAGACTCATAACGTGCTTGCACTTGTGATGGCCAGTGCTTGATGGGACCAAGCGCCTTAGAAACCCCCGCTAATGGTCCGACCAGTTAACCAGTCACAATTGACATTCAACATTTATAAGGGAAGGATCGTGCCATCGACACAGAAATTGTCTGGAGTTTTGATTCAAGCGTGCGTTGGCCTGCATTGTTGCCGTCGAATCTCGGAAGCAAGGGGGATTTGTCTGTTTGCGGCAATTTTCCACTTGGTCGTTTAGATTCTTTCGCAAAGTACACATGATCCTAATGTACAAATCGCAAGGGCGTGTCACTGATAGGCTGCAAGGTCTTTCTTTCTGCCGTGCGGAGGAAATGGAGTGGTTCTTGTTGGCAGTGATGCTCGTGCACTCACAGCGTCCCCTGAAGAAAACCCGTGCATTGAACTATTAGAAAGGAAAGCCGCCCAAGGCCCAGCGGAACAAAATGCATCGAAGTCGCCAAGACTTCCTGGTCACTCTTCAGCTCGTCTGCAACAAAGTGCCAAGCTCCCCAATCCTGTTGCAGGGCGACTGAGATCACCTCCATGTCCATCTTGAGCTTTTCTGCTGCAAACTGCAAGGCCTCACCACTTTGCGCCACCGCCGTCAAGACAACCTTCTTGTTATTCTGCAACTCCTCCGGTATATACTTCAACAGCCGGCCTACCTTTCGCACACCGTCACATGCCACCTTCACGACTTCGGCTGGTGAAAGGTTGAAGCGGTCGGGCTCAGATACCTTCTTCATCCAGTATCCCATTCCTGCACATGCCTTGGATGGGATTTGCTCACCCAACCATTGCCTAAGTCTACAAGGTGGGGGTACACGCCCTTCTTGTCCGAGCAAACTCCAAGGGTTGTGTTTTCTCAAAAAAATACATGAGCCAAAACCGTTATTGCCAGATCGATCTGGACACCAACCACGACAGCAAGCAATCAATGGGCTCTTGCCGCCCACGAAACGCAACATTTCATGGCAGAAGTGTTGGTGCCTCTCAGCCTCTTCAAACGGCGCGTGTGTGTTTCGTGGCTTGGATAAAATGCTGACTAATTCGGCTGTTCCTGCCTCTCTTGCAGAGTGGCAAGGGCTGAAACGAGGGAATGCTGATCCATGCTTTTGTGTATGACAAATGGCGAAAAGCCTGGAACTCTGTCTGCCGAGCGGGGCACTACTATACACTCAAGAACTTTATGTTCAAACTCTGCCAATAGCAGCTGGTGTCTGGTGACCATTGCTGCGGATCCTTGGATCAGTCCATCCTCGCAGAATTGGTGCAGCTTGGAACGGGAGAAGGCCTTTGCCGGGGATCACAGCATCTCGGCTTTCTTCACCAAATTTTGGCCCGGGCCTAAGTGGCTTGCAAGTGATATACTTGCTGTAAAGGGTGCCAGCAAAGGACATTTTGGAGGATAATTGATTGGGCGGAGTTTCTGCCAATGCGGCGATTGGAGCATGGTTGTGTGGGTTGCTAGATGCGGAAGATGGTAAACTTTGTTTTGGCCATTTGCGTCCAGCTGCTGATTTCGTCCTGGCAAACTCTGATATTGCACTTGCATGCGGCCTGGGTGGCCGACATCAAGACGTCTCTGATACTACAGTCATGAAGAGGAAGTCCAATTGGCTTCGCGCCCCGCTCTGTGTCAGGGCGATTCCCACCAGCAGGAATCAAGTTCGGCGCTCTGCTTCCTTCGATGGGGCACCCCGACCTCCGTGCGCCCAGTGGATTGGGATTTGCGCAATTGTGTTCCGTCGTGGCCGACATAGAGAAAGTGGGCGTTGCCCTAACGTCACATGGGCAACAAGTTTTGGACTGACCAACTTCCCCAAGTGTGGTGCAACTTGATAACCTTGCCAAGAGGAGTGTTCTTCCAGTCCAGGCAGTCAAGGAACAGCTGGTCAGCTTCGACACATGAAACAGATCAAACGGGAAAACGCCGAGTTCTGTTGTGCGAATGCCACAAAGTTGAACAACTTGCAGTGGATTTGAACCTTTTCAGAGCACCATGCAGCAAACGTGTGGCCAAGCAAGTCTGTGAGTTTTGTTTCGAACAGCAAATGGATTCACCCTGGCTGCTCGACCTGACAAACGGCTGGATGGGTCAAGGGTCCAGTTGGCACGCAAGAAGAAAAATTAGTTGCCAAAGCTTGTGAGAGCGCTTGGAATGGGTCCCTGCACAGATCCTAACAGGTTGTGATTGGTGGTCTGTGCCACTACTAGTGGCGATAATAGCAATTGTGGGGTGCATCGGCATCCTCATCGCGCAAACTTGATCACTGAATGAATGGTCAACGGTTTAACTGTATGTGCAAAAGCATTGGTCTAGTCGAGGAGATGAAGAGCAGTATGAGCCATAAGGACGTGAACCGCCGGGATCATGCGCGCCTCGCCACGATATGATGATGGTGGCGCTGAAGCGTGCGCTGACGACTCAGGCAATGACATCATAGCCGGAACAGCCACCCAGTTGAGGCTTAGCTTTTCAATGGGTTCGACCGGCTTAATGCGCTTGAATCGATTCATGTGAAGATTGCGTCTGTGTGTGTACCCCTTGGAATCATAGGGATCCTCTTGGATTGGAGATTTTTCGTTTTGTTCAAAATTTGCAGCAGGGGGTGCCAGGGACCATGCAAGTCTGGCACTCACAAAGACGCTTGCGTTGGTCTGTGATATCAACTCGGGACGTCGAGTCGACGTACCTGCTTGGAACACATTGACTCCAGTGGTTCACCCTCGCGCAGGCTGTTTCCAGGTCCATTAGGCTGCTGCGCAGTGCTAGTGAGTTCTGCAGATTGCGCCTGGTGGAGACAGGGTGCTGGTGCTGGATGCCGGTGCCGGGTGCTGGTGCTTGTTGTGTGCGTGGTGGAGATTGTGGTGCCAGTGCCGGGTGGTGGTGCTGGCTGCGCGTAGTGGAGACAGGGTGCCAGTGCTGGGTGCCAAGGCGCCGGTGTGGGAAAAGTTCATTTGTTGTTTCATTTGATACCATTGCTTTGCAATGATTTTGCTGGGCTGCATTGCTTTTAGCGATTGAAGGGGCAGGAAGTGGCACATCGCCCTGAAGAGTTGGTCTTGGTGCTCGTAACAATTACAGGATAGAGGTGGGTCATTATGGTTTGAATCAAACAGATCTATTCTTGAAGCGCCAGATTCACAAACCAGGTTGTGTCGAAATACAGCGTCCCATAGATGGCACGCGCTCTTTGCACATTTTTCCTCCAAGCAGCCAGAACGTTGGGTTTTTTCCAGTGTAAGAAAGGTTCCAGTGTGCGCTTGGAGCTGCTGCCAACGCAGGGCGCAGTCCAGAAAAACCTTTGACGTGTTTTTGCTATCTGGGGTCTATGCTGGTGTAATTAGTTCAGCGTCTAGACCACGAGCCAGCTAGAAGCCACCCTCCCCAGCAGGGACTGGGTACGCCAAAACATTGGGTTTGAGCGTTCATACCAGAAGCCCTGCGGTTCTACACCAGTTCATGCACGACAACCCATCGGTGCACGTCTGCACATCGGTTGGTGGATGATGTCATGAAGATCCGGCCAGGCCTCCGCAGCGGTTCAGGCCTATCGTCACATCAAGCTTCTTTTGAACAACAAGGGTGAAGCGAGACCGGGATGCAGAGTTTGCAACCTGAACTGAATGATGAACCAGCGTATTTGACGTCGTGCGCGGTCTGGGCATAGAGGTGTCAAATGCGGCTATCTCTGATCATATCCACAACAGTAGAAAGAATGGTGGTGCAATCTATTTGGAAACATGAACACCAAGCTTGTCAAGCTTGTGGCATGGCAGTCAGTGGGAAATCCAGTTTAGTCTGGTTGCAGGGTGGCTTTGTCCAGAGCAATCTTGGTGGCAAACATTTGCAGAGAGTGCAAAAGAACCTAATCAAGCAATCGCATCCTTGGCAAAGGGGGGTTGGAGATTCTTTGGCTGGCGGCTCAAGAATTGTTAGCAAAACTGTTATGACAAGTAGCTCGAGAAGTGACCACTTGGAAATGGCGAGCAATGAGAACACACCGCGCGCTCTCTGAGGACTGCAGTTGGCTGCAATGAAAATCTGATATGTGAATAGGGCCGCTGTTGAAGTCTAGGTGAAATGCAGCAAATCAAGTGGCCATGCCATCAGGCTGAAGCACTGTGAGTTAGCTCTCCGAGGTTCTTGATTCGTCTTCACAAATGGGCAATGCGTTTGCGCAGACTAAATCAGTTGGGGTTGGGCGGCCCAACATGATCCAGCGTGTGTAGCTTGAAGGTATAGGTATGGCAACAAATCGCGTGCTTTGCGAAGAGTTCGAGTGTAATGCGCTATGTTGTTCCAGTGAAGCCTGTAAGTGTTGAGCGACATGGGTGATTTGTGCGACAGTCAAGCAGCATGGCAAGTTATTGCGACAAGTGCCTTTCACTATCACAGAAAGGCGAAACAGGATGGCTGGGCATGTTTTCTGGCAAGCATGGTGGAACATGCAGCGGCCAACATTAAACGACACTCCAACCTTGTAGCGCGTCAGCACAGCTTGGGTCTGTTTTTTTCAGGTCAGGTTGCAATCTTCAAACGTCAGATTGTCTGAGCGGACAGGCGATTCGATGATCTCTTCCTCTTGCTGCAATGAAATATGGCTCTCACTCGTCACTCCCAGCATCTCATGAACGCTTTCTACGCCTTTTCCCGATTTCTAAGATTTGCCGAGGAAGCTCGTGGTAGCCCAAAGCACGAAAAACGCTGAGGTGTGCTTTTTGGTGGCATGTTGGTGTGAGGAGGAGTGTCGTAATGCACGGGGCTTCTTTGGGAAAAAGGATGAGCGCAAGGCAGAAGCAAGAAAAACCAAGTCACTTGGATGTCCTTGTCCATCCTCAACTCCTCTGCAGCATATACCAAGGCTCCCTTGTTGGCATGCGACACAGCAGCCAGGACAACGTCCTTGTCCGCCCTCAACTCCTC